CTGTTTTTTCCCTCTTTCTTCCTTTTTAATTAGTGGTTACATTCCTCCAATCTGTAGGGACTGCTCCAGAGTCCGTAGAATTTTGGAAGATGACCACCAATGCATCCAATATTTCCAAGGCCACTTCCTTTAATACTGCGGGATGTAGATTATCAGGCCCTGATGATTTGTCAGCCTTTAACCCCTTTAATTTCCCTAACACTAATACTAATACTGATTTCCTTCAATTTCATCTTCTCACCAGACCCTTGGTTCCCTAACCTATCTGGATGGTTATCTGTGCCTTTGTTTGTGATGACAGAACCAAAGTATGGGTTTAAGTCTTCTGCCATTTCATTGTCCTCCCATTATAATTTCCCTGGCTTCTGACTGTAAGGGACCTACTTTTGTTGTTACTAATCTTTTTCTCTTCATGTACTTACAGAAGATTTTACAGGCAGTTTCTATTTTCCCTGCAAGGTTAATCTCACATTCTATTCTCCCTCTCTTGATCAACATTGTGTTCTTTTCTGCTGAATTCTAAGATGCTCCCGAGCATCACCTTGATGCTTTTTCTGGGAATATCATGTCACCTCTTCGGATCTAATACTATCCCTAATTTACTTTCTTAGTCATGATTGAGCCACCGTTCATTTATTTTGTGCCAGGCAGGACTGAATTGTTCATGTAATTTATGCGCACATTCTTTAAATATGAACCAATGCCTAGCCACCCTTGAGTAAGTTTCCCAATCTATCCTTGCCAATTTGTATCTCATGCCCTCATAGTTCCCTTTGTTGTTTGCACAATGCCCAGTCTAAAATAGCCTGTTCTGTGGTTGGTTTCTCAATGTATTGGTCAAAAAAAACAAATTCCAGGAATTCCTCCTCCACAATATTATTGCTGAATCAATACATAAGTTAAAGTTACCTATGATTACAATTATATCATTATTTCATGCATCCGATTTACTTTTTAATGCCTTTCCTTATATCTGCACTACCTTTTGAGAGCTTGTAGACAACCTCCAAAAAATATTCTTAGCCTTTGGTGTTTGCTCTTGCCTCTTCCACATGATGATCTTCTGAGGCCACATCCTTCTTCACTATAACATTGACTATCCCTTTACTAACAACATTACCCAGCTTCTTTCCCCTTTTGACTGTCCTTCCTAAATAATGAATGTGCCTGGATGTTTAGTTCACATCCTTGGTAACTCTGCAGCTATGTCTGTGTTCTGACAACTATATCATAACTCAATCATCATCAATGTTATCTGTTGATTGATCTGTCTGTTCTGCACATATCTGGTGACCATTCATTATGAATATGTTGATCCCTTCAGCATCATGGGGTTAAGCACAATTTAACTCATTAGCTTTAAAACATTATTTCATGGGATATGGGCAAGACTGGCTAAGCCAGCATTTAATGCCCATCCTTAATTGCCCTTGAAGAGGTGGTGGTGAGTGCTTTCTTGAAATCCTGTAATTTGAGTTTGGGAATACAACATAGGCATCATTTCTGAATTCGAAGGACACACATTGTGCCCAATCAACTTAATTTCTCACTCAGTGATTCTCACCCTATTTAAAACTACTTTTTCTGATGGAGACATTCTGTACTGAATAAGAAATAATCACCAGCCTGTTAAACCTGCTGCCAGAACAGCCAATTCTTAATTTGTCAGAAGTACATTCTAGAAAGCTAATCCCTCTCCTTCTCCTCATAACTGGGCAGAAGCAACTTTTTATTAATGGAACAAAAAGTTATTCATTTAACTGTGAAATTGGACATGACCGATTGATTGGTTCCTGTTTTTAAAGCACAAAATTATTGATCAGCTATTTGCACCCTCTGGAACCATAACAAAAAAAATTTTGGTTTTGACAAAACAAGTTTGCTCCTCCAGGTGATTTAGTTACAAATGCCTAATTTGATTTTGAAGTCTACAAGTAATGTTACTTTTACAGAAAGTGGACGCATTTCATTCTACTTTTTGATAAAATGTTGTAGTTTGATTCAATTTTGTATGCAGCAGGACAATAATTCCTCCAGGCATTGCTGTTGATAAGTACAGCAATGCTGATTGAGCTTATTGCCCTTTCAGCCACCATGCAGTCCGCTGCAAATTGATTTCTCTCTTGCTATAAGTGTTACACTGCAGCAGCAGAGCTCAGTGACACACACAAGCACTATTTGGAATTACTTCAACATAAACCATCCAAACATTCTTTTGTTACCAGCTTGACAATGGATAACTGAACCTGAAGCACAAATGTAAAATCTACGAGTGAGTGAATTCTACAGCTCAGATGATTCAATGGATTTAGCACAGGTCAGTTCTCCCTGTTTTGTACTCTGTACTTTGTGTTCCTGATACACATTTAAAATTGTCATCAAGACAAACTTCAAGAGTATTTTCTGCAAGGTGGAAGCTTTATAAAAATGTTTAAATGATCAAGCTTGTTTAGGTTACAGTTTAAAATTGGCTGAAATTCCATTTTAGAAAGAAAGCAAATAGAATGAGTAATAGCTTATAACAATATTATGAACAATACAAATTTAATAGAGTTTTGATTGCACAATACAGCATTTGTGACACATAGTAAGACATTCACAAATTTTAACAATGTTGGTCATCTTATTACCATGAAGAAAATGTACTGGAAAGATCAAATTTTTCAGATGTGAAGATGCTTAAAGAATATAATTACTAGAGAACTCAAAATATATTTTCTTTTTCATGTTATTTTTAAATCATGCCTCTTGGGACAGAAACTGTGGACAAAAAGGCCACTTCCAAAAGATATTCTGAAGCAACTATTTGAGCAGTGGGTAATTGCTGATTCTACCCCTGATATTTCTTGTTTTGACCACAACCTTTTCTGTGTCCAAAGCTATTTTTCTCCCCGGCACTCCCTGTGCCTGCAACCGATCTTCCCAACATCACTCCCTATGCCCACTACAAATAACCTCTTGACCTTCCCTGTGCCCTAAATTAGGTTTTCCCCCTATCCTTCTCATGCCCTTGACTGATTCTCTTGTTCTCCCTCCTTGTTTCCCATGGTGATTCTCTGACTACTCTTCTTTATAGTTGCTGGTGATTTTCTCTCCACTATTTCAAGGAAAATCTCCTGGAGAGAAATCGGAAAATTTTGATCCAACATGGTCATGCTCAAGGCTTGTGTCAATTCAGTGCTGTGCCATTTAAAAAGTGTTAAGCTTTAACAAGATGCCAACCTCACCGTATAAATCTTGGTTGGCATCAATATAGAGAACAATTCTTCCTCTGGCGTACTGTGAGAATTTATGCCTTCTCCCAACAGTTGCTGCAATGTGTGACTAGCACCTCTGGGATTCCTACAGACTAAATTAACCATACATCTGCCCAAACCTAAACAGAGAAAATCACAAAAGCAAATACTGCATTTGCTGAAAATGTGAAATAAAAACAGGGATTACTGGAATTACTGGAAATACACAGTAGGTCTGGAAGAATCTGTACAGAGACAAAAACAAAGTTCATATTCAGATTGCTGAGCTTTCGTCAGACTGGGCAAAAGTGAGAAATGTCATAAGTTTTGGGCAAGGGAAGGGGAGGGGTGATGGGACAAAGAACAAAAGGTGAGTATTGCAATAAAGGAATACAGAGATTAACATGACAAAGGGTTTCATGGGGCAAGACCAAAGGGAGTTGTAGTGGCATAAGAGTCACACGATGGGTCCAGAGGGGTTGTGATGGCAGAATCCTGAATAGCTACTATCCAAAAGTAAGGGAAATTAGTGAAATTAGTTCAGAAGAAACCATTCCAGCAAACAAACAAAAACAAAATATGGTAAAAGTTACGACCTAATAATTGCTGAACTCAATATTGAGTGCTCAGTTGAAAGATGACATCCTGTTCTTCAAACCTCCATTCAATTTCACTGGAATACTACAGCAGGCCAAGGTCAAAAAGGTCAGAGTTAGAGTAAGGTGGGAAGGGAAACTGCCAGCTAGAAGCTCAGTGTTAGGTTTGCAGACTATATGGATGTTTCTGCAAATTGGTCACCTGTCTGCCTTTAGTTTCCCCAACGTACAGGTGGTCATGTGGGGACAATCACACTTAACTGTATTAAACACACCTCCTTTGAAGCTGCAGAGAATGCTACTTGTGTATAAATCTTTGAATGTAAACAATCTCCATTGTTTCAGGCACATAAACCAAAACGTCAGCCTTCCTGCTCCTCTGATGCTGCTTGGCCTGCTGTGTTCATCCAGCTCTACACCTTGTTATCTCTGCTTAATGCTATCCTTTTTGGTTTACATGACGTGTGGATGAGATCCCTTGATAAAATAACAAAGTAAAGTTAATCTTAAGAGCAATTATTATTCAGTGTACATTGGGTGGTTTTGGTGAGGATGAGTAAGCTTTTAGTTTTGGATTTGTACATTTTCAAATGGACTTCAATATTTATCCAAGATTGCTGTTAGAAGAACAAATATTCACTCAATTCTCACTAGAGTGTGTTAAAATTATTGATTAAAAAGGAGTATGATTTGTGATGTGATGGTTCAGTGCGGTCTGAACTACAGATTCTTAATGTCTCTAATATATGCTCCTCTTGGGGAATTCAGCCAAATCTAATGCTCATGATGCACCCCTATGGTATTTAATTGCCATGGGCACATTGCATGGAAATTGGGTGATGTAGCCTTGTCAAATGCAGCGTGTAATACCATAGAAAATTAATCTGTTGGTGTTCTTTGGGACCAAGTAATTATCTTTGGTTAAAATGAGGTATATGAACAGTAACAGAAGTAGATCACTGAAGCCCCTCAAACCTATGTTCCCCTTCAATTAAATCATAATTAAGCTGTATCTTAACTCCATCTATGCTCCTTGGTTCCATAATACATAATATCCTTTCCCAAAAGATCTATCGCCCATCAAGTACCTGTTAATTAAACAAACAAGCTGTCTAAAATGCCAATGATTTCTGTTGTTAGGACTCCAACCTGAAATAAAGCAGTGAGCATGGGCGACTGGAATTTCCTTGGAGGGATTTTGGAGGAAGTTCATGTCCACTCCACCATTGTTGGGAAAATATGGCTGACAATCCTTTTCATATTCCGCATGCTTGTCCTTGGAGTGGCTGCTGAAGACGTATGGAATGATGAGCAGTCAGAGTTCATCTGTAACACTGAGCAGCCCGGCTGCAGAAACGTGTGCTACGACAAGGCTTTTCCAATCTCCCTCATACGCTACTGGGTTTTGCAGGTCATCTTCGTGTCTTCGCCATCCCTAGTGTATATGGGCCATGCCCTATACAGGCTCAGGGCGCTGGAGAAAGAAAGGCAGAAGAAGAAAGTGGAGCTGAAGGGTGAACTGGAAGAGACTGAGACCATGCTGGAAGACAGGCGCAGGTTAGAGCGAGAGTTAAGACTGTTGGAGCGTAGAAAATTAAACAAAGCACCGCTCAGAGGCTCTCTGCTCAGCACTTACGTCCTGCACATTCTCACCAGGTCTGTGGTCGAGGTTGGATTTATGATGGGTCAGTTTTTGCTCTATGGACTGGAGTTAGATCCTCTGTACAAGTGCAAACGGTTGCCCTGCCCCAACATTGTGGACTGCTTTGTGTCCAGACCCACCGAGAAGAGCGTTTTCATGCTATTCATGCTGTGCATCTCAGCAGTTTCCCTCTTTCTGAACATCCTCGAAATCATTCATCTGGGCTGTAAGAAGTCGGAGTTGGGGCTTTTTGGATATTATCCCAAACTGAAAGAGGACGTGGGTGATATCTGCATCAGCAAGTCACAGAAGAATTCAAGTGCTCAGCGAATCTCTGTCTCGGCAGCGGGACACACACACACCATGGTCCCCAGTGCTCCAATTGGTTACAGCTTGTTGCTGGAGAAACAAGCGGAGGCTACAATGTATCCGATATTTACACCTCCCGAGTTCAAACCCACTCAGGATGATTTGAAACAAAGTTATAAAGAAACGCAACAGCAGCCTCCCATGGCCACTCAATATAATGCAGACTCTAGCACAGCGTTAAGTTGCACTGAAGGACCCAAAAAGTCCAGCGGATCGGAAGTTCCTAGTCAAAAGGGTGAAGAATGGAATGAGCCCTCAAAGACGGCTTCCCTTCCCACCCGGAACTCGCACTCAGCCAGTCAGATGGAGCAGTCCACCGCCGGTACCTTATACCCGGCTCTTCACAGCGCCCCGTTCCCCCCCGTGATTTCCGCCAGCGCCAGTCGCAAGCTCCGCCGAGTCAGCGCCACCTTGAGCTGCGCCACAGTGGCCGAGCGCAGCGGCTCCGCCACCGACTCTGAGCCCGGTCACAGGGGCAGGTGTGGTTTCAGTGTGACCAGGGCCCGGACAGCTTCTAAAGGCGACCTCAAAAGGCCCAGCAGACCCGACACTCCCGAGTCAATCTGTGAATCGAGCTCCGAGTCGAAGCCCAGCGGAGACGGCGATAGTCCCCAGCAGGCTCTCTCTCCCTCACGGAGAATGTCATTGGCAAGTAACGCCAGCGGCAGGCGTGCTCCCACCGACCTCCAGATATGAGCGTCAGTTTAATTAATACCTTATTTCTGCTAAATATAAGAATACATGCTTGGACCTTAGCAAAGTGGGGTTGTTTTGTTCCTAGATTTCACCTTTAGATCAACAGTAATGTGCTGCCAGTGCAACCTGTCATATGAAAATGTGACCATGAAATAGAAACAGCGAATAAAGTCTCGCATTCCCCAAACAGATCTCCGTTTGTTCCATGCAATGCAAACTAAGACATTTTTGAATATATATATAGACCATCGATCTTTTTTTTTAAAAAGATGAGAAACAAGAGTGAAGGGGCTGAAACCAATATTGCTGGACACCATCAAGATTTAACAAAGAGGAAATCAGGGATTAGCGGTGAGGTAATCGCTTTAAAAGTCTGTTGATTGTAGCAAAAAGGGAGTCCAAGGTTTCTAAGAGCTGGAGGTTTTTCTAATCCTGAAAGAGTAGATTAAAGTGGGAAAGTGCAATGTGATGCATCTTGATTGTTGCGGGTTGAACCATCCGAATATATGACGAAACAGGTGATATAATTGTAAATGATTAAAAACACAGGAAAGAAGAGCAACAATAAACCAAACAGCTCATGAGGTTGCTCCACTATTCAGTAGGATCATCTTGGGCTTCAGCTCCATTTTGCCATCCTCTTCCCACTTTCCTAGATTTCCTGAAAGACCAAGGACCTGCTTTAAATGTACTCAATAATGGACCATCCAGAGTAGAGAATTCCAAAGTTTCACAACCTTTTGAGTGAAGTAATTTCTCATCTCAGTCCTAAATTATAAGCCCTTATTCCTGAGACTGTTTCCCTGTATATCCAACTCTTTCTCCAGCAGAAAAAAAATCTCAGTATTGACCCTGGAAAAGCCTTTCACAATAGTGTGAGTTTTGTTGAGATCTCCTCTCATTCTTATACACTGCAGAGAACATAGACCCAATTTAATCAGTCTCTCATCCTAGGACAAACCTCCTTACCCAGGGTCCAATCAGGTGAACTTCGCTCTAACTCCAATGCAAGTATATCCCTCCATAAATTTGGAGACCAAAACTGCATACAATATTCCAGGTGTTGTATCACTAAAACATGTACAAGTGTGGAAATACTTCTTTATTCCTGTACTCCAATTCCCTTGCAACAAAAATCAACATGTCATTTAAAAGCAAAGTACTATGGATGCTGGAAATCTGAAATAAAAACAAAGTGCTGGAAAAACTCAGTAGGTCTGCAAATAACTGTGGAGAGAGGAACAGAGTGAATGTTTCAAGTCCAATAAGATTCATCCCAGAACACCAAAAGAATTCTAATTTTCCATTCTCATGACCAAAGTGAATAATATCTCATTTCCCCACATTATACTAAATCTGTCAGGGGTCAGTTTGCAATGCACATTGAAGGAAACAGCATGGGTTCAATTCCTGCAACCAGCTGAGATCACCATGAAGAACTCTCCTCTCAACCTGTCCCTCTGCTTGAGACATAATGACACTCAGATTTAAACCACTACCAGTCATCTGTGTCTCTCATGAAAAAGCAACCCAATGGTCTGGGAAGACTTTAGCTTAATGTGACATTGATGTGTCACTGCCAGTCAGATTTCATTTAATTTTGCTACTTAACCAACTTTCACTGTCAGAGGTTAATTCTTAATTTGAATTTATAGTTGAGGAAAGCTTACTAAAACTTATCAGGTGCACCAGACTCCTGACTTCACACTTAGCCTATGTCATATACAGGCATCATTGACTATCCATGCACCCCTTACCTTATTCTTTATTTTTACAGCACATTCATTCTGGTATGACCTTTCTTATTACTTAGTACGGTTAATTGTACACTCTTAAAGATATGAGCAACAGATTGAATATGTCAAAAGACAAATTAGGCAGATAAATTCTAATAATTTTCATATCGGTGAGATAATCAAGAAAGAGATTGTTATATATATTTTGCTTTTTACTAATAGCTATCAAGGAGGAAAGCCATTTGTCCCATCTTCTTTCATTCATCCACAGAGATCCTACTGTTTGTTTGTTAAATAATTCCAGGGTGTTTTCATCCTCTAACCTTGACGTTCCTTTTACATTTTACCTCTTCTGAATTTCTTGTATTATTCTATTGGGCATCATTTTCCTTCACTTTGGATAATTTGTATAAGCCATTTTCCTTTTTCAGTTCATTTCCTGTTGTTAATTCATTCAGAACCAAGTTTCCTTAGTTAAAACTTGTTGTTTAGCATAGTATTATACTTGCATGTCTGAACAGATCTAAAGGTCTTTCATATGACTTCTGCTGAAGTATTACTATTGATTCACCTGTTTTAGTTCCCTTATTTCAAGTAATTCAGACTTTTAAAGTTGGGAACTGCCCATACCAATTGGTAAAATATTCTCTAATGTTCTCCACAGATATCTTTTACATTACTTAACAACACAATGACATTTGTAGCTCAACATTTGTAATGCAATAAGTCTTTAATACACTCACAACAGTAGTAATCATAAAGATGTGGTAGCTGTAACATGAGCCATGTTCAGTGTTGTTTTCTCAGCTGTAACTTAAATTGCAAACATATAACCAGCCACATAGGTGATAAATCTGAATTCACATCACTTGATATATAATTACTATAATTTCAATTCTGAGAATTCTGCTAACTGGCAATGTAATGCAACAAGGGTGAAATAGGAATTAAAATACAGCAAGGGAAGATCATTTCAGCAGCTACTGCTGTCTAATGATATTTCCAAACCATGATCTGAGAACAGCTTTATTTAATTGATCCAAGTCAAAAGTTGAATAATGCATATATTTGTTCTATAATAAACACACATTCTACAAGGTATAGATTGATTATAAAATTACTCAGCACCAGCTTCTCCTACTTTTACAATACTGATCACATCAATCTATTTCAAAGGATCAATCCAATGTTTCAAATCTTATATTGCACACCAACCATAGTCGCAACTGGCGTTTATGTTATGCCATTAATGTTTTAAAATTTTCCAAGGTGCTTCACAGGAACATTATCAAACAAAATTTCACACTGAGCCACAGATGAGGAAAATATACTTGGGAAGGAAGCATCTTAAAGGAGCAGTAAAACAAATAGAGATATCTAGGGAGAGAACTTCAGACAGAACACAAAACTACACATCAGTTTCTACTTTTGCCACCCAGTTGAACTTTCTGCTGATGTTCCCAGGACTCCGTATGCAATTATAAGGGACACCCAGCAGGATGAATAAAAGATATTTTTGTGGATTTATTTTTCAAAAGGATAAGTGGAGAAATACAACCGTGTTTCTTTTCGTTGGGTGTTCTTGGTTGAGGAGACCCAGACAAATTTTTGCTAATTTTATTCACACTTGTCATTGAAGCTATAAATTCATGAAAGCCATTTTAATAACTGACTTGAAATATTTCACACTGAGAATGATAAATACCTGAGAAGTATAAAAATTGTGTTCTGAAATGTAGTTCCCAATATTGGATAAACAAGTATTTTAAAGAGCTCTCTCTCAATGCATGCAGTCTGGATCTCCAGATCTCTGGAATGCTGTGATCTCCAGCATTTATTGTTTTCAGTTTTTAAAGAGCAAATAGTTTTTTCATGTAAATAAAGTCTTTTTACAAAAGATTGCTTTGACCATGATTTTCTTCTTTTTCTAAATACTTGAAATCTGGATTTAGTCCTAAACCACTTATCTAATAGATTTCCCTTAATGTGGCACATATGTCCTGTTCAAGATGATAGATTTCAGTCTTCTCAAAATTTCAGTTCTCTCACTCTTGAGTGGACACTTGGAATATTGAATTTCTGAGTGTCAGCAGTAGACTCCAGCAGTTCCTTCTGCTGAAGTGTATGTATGCTGAAATATCACAGTGACCAGCACATAATCTGCTGATGCACAATACATATTAGAGTTGTGGGGCAAGCTATTTAAACAACAGTATGGAGACTTTTGTACATTTTCTCATTCTTTTGTTTATCTACAAAAACTTGCATTTATAAAGAACCCTTGAAATATATCAAATAGTGCAGGGTATTGACAGATGAATGGGTTGTAGGGTGTTTGGTAGGCAGACAGAATGGTTGAGAAAAGAACAATGCCAACAGGACAGGTGTTGTGTCAGTAAGCTTTTAGTAAGTGGAGTGATTGCAAAACTTTAACTAATTTGCTAATAAGTTCTAATCTTGAGCTCTCTGTTTATTATGACTATAAAGAGAATTAAGAGTGCATAGCCAATGACTCATATTCTATTTTTCAATAGCAGAAATCTTTTTAACAAATTGTTTATAATGACTTTAGTTTTTAATTAAGCCTCACCTTATTCACAACATTACTCAGAACTAATACTAAATAAAAATGCAATTTTGTGAGGAATGCGTCATGGATGAAAAGTTGTTATTTGTAGGCATAGTGTACAATTGGGTAATTAATCATTCACATTAGTATAACACTAAATGCTACTTACAGAGATTTTGCAAAAACATACTAAGTTGACGGTGGTGGTGTGGTAGGTAAATCATCTGCTACAGTGTGATCTGTTCCCCAACAAGATCAGAGAGGGCTGTATGAAGCAGGTTAGGCCTTGAAATGACTCCACTTGTAAATGTACTTAGAAACTCGGTAGATCACCAAAATCAAATTTTCTATATGCGTATATTTAGACTCATAGTGGGTTTTAATATTTTAGTGGTGTAATATATAATTCGCCCTCTCACTTCTAGCTTCATCAGTTTTCAATGTTATCAGAGATAAAAAAAAAAGACACATTGACTGTACAGCAGTGATTACTTTTTTGCAAGTATTTTTAGATTCTTTTTAGCACATATAGGAATAGCAATAGTGTGTTCTGCTTCTGCAGAGCAAGAACAAGTTGAACTATATGGGACTGGGCTTGGCGTCTACAGAAATAAGAAACTGAAGCTTCATTAAAATGAATAGAATATTGCATGTTGAACGGTTTTAAATAATGTGCGGTGGGCAAAGACAGGTAGCTATGAGCCATCTACTTAGTACACACACCAAAAATCACAAACTTTGACTTTCTGCACATTGCAAGATGTGCATGATTTTGAACTTTCCTCAACTAATAATTAATTTTTCAACAGCAAGTTTTTCTACCTCATTTCTTAGCACAGGATATAAGGAATGGCATAGAAAAATGGCATCAAA